ACTTCTGATGGCAAGATGCTCGATCGATTCATCTATATCGATCCACCAAAATGTTGAAAACGGTATCTTCAACACCTTGGACACCGTCACCCATGAGACGAGCTTCAGGGATGTTTGTCAGAGATATATCACTGCGAGCCAGTGTTCTTACCAGAATGGTCAAGGTAATCTGGCGTGGTGAAGGTAAGAACATTAAGGTGATGACCTTCGCTTCGGAGTAGTTATATTTGGAACAGAGGAAATCAAAATGCAGCCGTCTCCAGTAGAGCTTTCAACTAGTACAGCGGAGCATTTGGCTGCTCTCTGAAAAAATGGATCGTGAAAAAATGAAACGAAGAAAGCAGCATATCGCCTTCTCGTGAAAACCGTCAGTTGGAGCTACCGCAGGAACAGGAGATGATGTCTGGATATAATAGCGCTGAAGTTGGAAAATGCAGCGGCGAAAAATAACTGAAAAATGCTGTACAGTCAGATGGATGCCATCGACAATAGTAGCGCAGCAAAGCCTGCTGTCAGGTTGTTAAACAGCAAGTTTAACGAGCCGTTGCAAGACGTATATGGCCTATAGAAACGATGAAACAGAGCACTTGCACAACTGTTTTCTTCGCCTGGTCCACGGTAAATTTTGACAAAAGTGGAAGGAGGGCTGCGGGCAAGACCACTTAATTGCACCTCATTATTGGTCGAAACAATCTGACAAACGATGCGTCTCAGTCAAAGCTCCAAATCCTGTAGTTACAACTGCATTGGTGCGGCAATTCTCTGTGCGCCGGCGTTATCATTTTTTTCAGTGGGATCCACTTCATTTACTCTGGCATAAAGCGGAAATCAGTGATCCGCAAAGCTGTATGTCTGTATGTATGCATGTGTGTATGTATGCATGTATGTATGTATGTATATATGTGTATATATCTCTGTATGTATCTAGTTACGATATGTATTTACGTACCAAAATATATATGAGTGTAGAAAAATCGCGTTATCACCGTGATTTTTAGGTTTGGTAGTCGTGCTGATTTCACAAATTATCGGGTTACTCTGCAGCCTGTATTGAAGGTGTTCTCGCGAATTCGAATCTTTTGAAGGTCAAATAAGGCCATGGTCGATTCGCTGCGAACAAACCAAGCAGACTTGCAGAACGAAAACTCGTGCAAGAACGACATCTTCGTGGTGAAAAGGATGCTCGACCAGTGCAGAATCTTCCAACTGCCCTGATACACCACGTGACGCGACGTTTCTCGACAACCTTCGACTCAGTTGAAGCCAGTTTGACGTTTCTTTCGACTTTACAGAATCTTACAGGCAAAGGTAAATTCGGCTGAAAGTCAGTATTAAAGGATGATACGTATGTCATAAGCTAAGGAATGTGTTGACGGATTGGTTTAATGTATCCAGTGGAGTTCGTGAAGGCGAAGTGTTTTCTTTTTCGTTGCTTGACATAATTGCCGATTATGCAGTGCGACGAACGTCTTTCCAAATTACAACGAGGTACGGCGTGAAGTTAGACACACGGCTGAACATATCTGACGGTATTCCTAACGGATAATACAGCGACATCGTGCTGTACGGCTCTGCAAGTGGTCGCGATTGCGAAAACATGTTCGCAACGCGACTATCACGACGGCGCTACTAGTCAGTATTAAAAGAATTATTGAAGCGCTCACTTCGACCGTTAACCCAAGGATATTATATGATAATATTGCGATAAACACTCCCCTGTTACCGGTCCCAATATCTGATGTGAAAGGAGGAGGGTTGGAGACCGGGACGAAGTCGCCGTAAAACTTCACCACCTACCTTTTATGGTATTGACATCATCGAAAATTATGCCCCCATCCGTTGTCGCTCGGGTTACCAAGGGCCGCGCAGGCTGTTACAGGATTGAGGTAGGTGACCAGAACCGAAAAGTTTGTGACCAGAACCTGCGCATGGCCTTCTGGCAGCCGGGAGCGGAGTAGCACAGCAACGGCTGACTAACATTGGAACGACGACGAAGATACCAATCAGTAACGGAGTCGCTAGCCGTTCTGAACGGAGGAGGCAGACTGCACGATGCCATTATAGCACGTCAGAAAAGGGTCCATAGTGGGAGCTTACAGTCGGAAATTGGAACATGTCCTCACTCAGAGGGAAACAGCAAGAGTTAGTTGATGAGTCTATAAGATACCAACTCGACGTAGTTAAACTCTCGTGAACGAAACGCCAAAGCTCTGAAATCCTGAACCTCTGCGGCTGGAAGCTATTCTACAAAGGGGTTGATTTCACGACTCGCGCTCAGGCCGGTGTTGGTGTTCTGATAGAACACGACCTAGCGCGTAGAATCACGTAATGGAAGCCTCTCAGCGGAAGGGTGGCGATCCCCTGATTGAAGTTGCAATTGGGTAAACTGATGACATTGTTACAGGTCTATTCGCCCAAATTAGAGGGATAATATTAGTCCTTTGAGTAAGTGGAGTGTATTTTGTACATGCGGCGAATACGGAATCTCTCATTCTCGTAGGCGATATTAATGCGCA